AAGGAGGAAGGAGGGGAGAAGAACTTACAAGTTGGCGCGAGGCAGTCATCGTTGATTTAATCGTGTGTCAATTTCGTATATCGCAGCACCATATATGCTTCCAGGTCCCTTTCTCGCTTTGCTTTAAGAATTTCCTTGCTTTTTTCCCTCAAAAAATGATCTCTTCTTTTTCTATTGCAGCAGCATTTGTTCCATGAATGCATGTGTGTGTGTGTCGGGATTTTTCCGAAGAAGTAGCCGGAAGATGCCATTAACGACGATCTTTTCAACTGGCTCTTGACTGGAACGCGAGGTTCTTCTCTCTTTTTTTTTTCTTTTTTTTTTCCTGCTGGTTTTTTCTCCTGCCCGTCAATCTCACTCTGCCTACGTATCGAGGATAAGAGAAAGTTACGACTGTTTCAACGCATTCCATGCACCCAAAGTTGAAGTTTCCACCTCCTTTTTCTTCCTCGCATCTCAGCTTTCTTCCTGGTTTACTGGTCAGGCTGAATTTATTTCTCTTGGCAAGAAAACGGTTGAATTTTCTGTTCCCAATCAACCTTTTGGGACTGTAGAAAAGAAAAAAGAAGAAAAACAAGAATTTCCAAGAGACAAAGAGACTGCCCGAGGAGAAACACACACACGCAATGTGGGTGAAGAGGAAAGCAACGCAAACGCGAAGGGGAGGAACGTAATATTATAAAAGAACTCTTTTCTATTGATCAAAAATCGTTTTTTACCAAAAAGTATATATTTCTGCGCATTTGGGGGGAAAGATTGTGGATCCATATTATGAGGAAGGCCAAGAGAGCCTCGAATATTTTCCCACTTTTCTCCTGGTAACTAATAACTATTACTATTGCTATTCATTATTTGTTACTATTATTATAATTATTATCAACTTATATATGATAACTATTTGTATCGGTATCAATCAAGATCCAGCAAAGGAGATTTATATGCTGACAAGTTGGAACTCATAAGCTCGCTCGATCGACCGGTGGTCGCTCTCATCGAAAATCAGGCAAAGCTTGTTCTTCGCCACGAGTCGCGGGATCAAGTGGACTGGAGTTGAAAGCGACCATTCTCTTTTCTGCAAGTGATCAAACTTACACGGTCTTTTATGTGTCAATGTGCCAAATCCTTGTGATACTGTAAGCTTTGCGTTTTAAACGGAGTCTACACGAGCGCGCTTGTGTAACTTGGCAAGATCAGCATGTAGGAACAAACTTAAAGATCTAGCGGCACAAAGTTCTGGTCTTTGGCTCGAGTGGAGTTCTTATCTTATATCAAAAGACCATCGAAGTAACTACGAGAGTTTTTTTTTACACCAAACTCGAAATGGACTCCACGATCGAGATCTCTGAGTCGTGTGACCATGATCTTTCGTGACCCATACTGGGAGACACACTCCATCGTCTTTAAAAACTTTTTCTTCACACTGGTACTATTAGTGTGGCTATAGCGCGGTGCTTCCACGTTTTTAATGCCTGTTAACTTCATGTCGAGCGTGGGTGGAGCACACAGAGATGGCCAGCCAGCCATCAATCAGATCCACCAGAAACTTTTCTTCTTGGTCTCGAGTCCGTCCAGTGTTTCATCAATCGTCTCCATCCACCAGATCTTTCTCTTTCCCATCTTCTCGTCCACGCTAGCAGCAACAGTTTGAGCAACCTTGCGTTGCAATCGCAAAGCCGATGCTAGCGCGTTTCTCTGGAAGGTCGATTTCTTCTTTGGCTCTCGCTCCTGCCCGAGAAAACTTTAGACAACGAGCAAACTGAAAAAGGAAAGAGAAACCTTACCCGCAGTTCTTCGAGCTCGGCCTCGGTGAATCCCTTCGCCATTAATCCCAGCACCCATTGGAGAGCTTGCGTTCTATCCTGCTGAGCAAATCTGATCAAGCCCAGCCACAGTGTCTGTACGGGCGAGGCCTTGAGAAGTCCCAACTTGACGAAGTAAGGGTGGCCGAGAGCAGCCTTGGCACTGATACGTTGGCGACCTTTAAACTGCATCATCGCTTGGAGCAGCTCCCAGCCAGCTCCTCCGTCCATGTCCAGAATCTCGAATCCACGTTGAACGTCCGCATTTGGCCGAGCGTCCACCAAGTCTCTCCACGCAACTAAGTCGTGGTCCACGCGCTTCAGCTGCCGGTTGAACTGGATGAGAGCACTGTCGCTTCTCAAATTCGAAAAGACCTGTCATTGACAGATGAAAGCTTTATATCAGCTGGAAATGAAGTACTAATGTCATTACCATTTGCAAGAACATCAATCCGAGACTGTAGATATCAAAGCGGTCCGGGAGGTTCAGCTGCAACGATCAACAAACATCGTGATTTGTCACAGGAAACATATTCACTGGTATAAACCTGCCATAGAACTGGAGAGAGTGCTGTTGCAATGACAGGCGATGGAGCCGAGGGAGTTTGAGTGCTCATAATGTACTGCTCAGGTGCAGCGTACCTTGAACATAGAAAAAATGTCAGGAAACTTTCTTTACGCGAAGTTGAGAAGAAATAGACCTTGGATCCAGTAGGAACTCTTGCGGAATGTAGTTGATGCCAACTCGCAAGTCCGTAGCAGCGCCGAGATCAATAATCTTGAAGGACTTCGACTCTACGAAACAGTAAAACTGATAAGAAACAATGGCTACGTATCTACAGGCTTACCGTCGGAGAAAATGATATTTTGCGGTTTTATGTCGCGATGAACAATCCCAGTATCGTGCAGCCCCCTCAAACATTTCAATAGCTCTTGAAGTAAGGACTGGATGATCTGGTTTTCTCGCTCGGCACCTTTGGCAAGCTGTGTAGTCTTCAAGCTCAACGCCTTTTCAACCTGTCTGTCGCGATTTGAGATTTTCAGTAAATCCATCCTTGCATGAACTGAGAACTCACTAACATTGTAAGGAAAATCCTTGCTACTCATGAAGTCCGCGAGAGTCGCCACACCTTCGTAACGCCACACAAGCCAAAACTCCTTCCTCTTTGGATTGACTCTCTAAAACCAACCAATATAAAAGGTCATTGACAAGCAAAAAGAAGGAGAGATCAAGCATACCATCTTAAATCCGTCAAGGTAGTCAGCACATTTGCCCGGGCATGCCCGTCGCACACGCTGGTTCATCCAAGCCTCCACTTCTCCATACTCACTAGCCTTTTTCACCACCACTGGAAACGACTGCGCGTTAACAAACAAATGTTTCAAAGTGATCGAGCAAAAAGCAAAAGAACTACAAAACCCACGCACCTTCTTTTGAGGATTCGCAAACGATCCTTTGTAGACGGATCCAAACGCTCCTTCTCCAATCTTCTTCTCCAGGACAAAGTCATCCTGGACGAAACAAACACCTCGTTTCAATCCAAAACGCTAGAACTTACGTAAACAACGAAGAAATACCTTTGTGTAAGAAGGCCGGAGCCTCTTCTCTATCGGTGCTAGAAGAAACATGTCCCAGAATCCAGGAGCTACACCAGGAGTCGCCCACAAATAAGTGACTGCGAGCACCGCCAAAGCAGCGCCGGGCCCTGTTACCTGCAAGGAATTGGATTTGGGCAGCGTGCTCCGATACACCACATCGCCACACTCCATCACCGTGCAAGGCAATCCAACCCCAACCCCGATCACAATACCGTGGAATGCATCCATCCAATCCATCCCTGCTACCGCGACTAGGGCACTGGATCGATGCCCGCCGCGCCGCCGCCGCGGCTCCCATCTCGCCCCGCTCGATCGATGCCCCAAGAAGCCGCTCCTAAGCCCCGATCTGGCGGAGCCGCCGCAGCAAGGATCGCGAGAAATCATGGACACGGAGAGAATCGCCATGGGAACTTGGGAGAGAGCTTCAAACCATGGCTAGCCTTAATTTTTTCCCACCACGAATGTGGGTGGACGCCCTTGCGACACGTTGGACTAAACGAAATCCACGTGGCGGATAATTAGTGGAAACATTTCTTTTTCCTTTTTCTTTATTACGTACGATCAGATGGCGAAAAAGTGATGACAGGGAAAATAGTCACAATAATCAAAAGAGACTGGTTATTAGCAGTTTAACTAGAGCTGACCAAAACCAAAGGTCCTGCTCTTCATTTTATTTCATTTCATTTAAAAAATGATTCATACAAAGTCTGCGATTTGAATAAGGGTTGCTGCCGTTGACCAGCAGAATTCCTCCAGCCGTGCGTGAAAGTTTCGAACTTTCACCTGAATGTCTACAACACTAACAATAGATTTAAATAGATTGTAGAGAACACTAAATTCACGTGGCTATGATTGGCCACCGCGCTAGCTGAAATATTTATGTTATAATAAATAAAACTCGGGAAAATTACAAAGCTCATTTTAGGGACATGTAACGAAGGCTTTCTCGGAACTGAATCTCTACACTCTTTAAATCTAACAGTAGCCACAAATATTAATATTCACTCCGGTGCCTTGAGGCTCTTGAGATTTTCTGGTAAAGTATTCCCTGTTGCCTCGGCAAACTCCCTCAAGGCTTGAATGGCCTTCTCTTGTAAAGCAGACACCTTGTGGTGAAGATCACGGTCATGACGAAGCAACTGACCGTGTCGTACCAATCGTCAGGAGCCAGTTGTATTGCCGGAGTGTAGAATCCACAGAAAAACATCACCCCCAGCAGGATCACCACCCTTGGATCTGTGCTCATTGTGGAAAGGATACCACTGATGCCTCCAACAAGAAAACCATATGTAACGGGTTTCTTTCGACCAAAGAGGAGGTACAGAAGAGACCTCTTGTTAGACAAAAAAGAACAAAAAAAAAAACACAAAAGCTTACTTGTTAAGAGTGAGATCCCTCACTTCTGCAGATAACTGAGGGGTTCAATATATGGTAGCTACATAAAATCCATATGCAGTGAAGCAGTGATTCACAAGAATCATCAAAAACTGGCGCCGTATAATCCAGTGGCGTCTAAGATCCCAGGCCTTGTAGATATCACCAAGTTACCCGTTCTTTTGGGATATGCAGTTATATACAGTCCGATCCAATATACGATATACGATCGTATCCATATCCACATGGGCTGGATTCTCTGCCGAGCATATGGCTATGTCAGCAAATGATGATCCTTAGGGCCGTCCGCGATTGCTCCTCTGGCAAGGTAAGCGCATTCTACGGTTCACTGGCTCACAGTTTTGATCGCTCCCTTACCCTCCATTTTCAAGAGCTCAGCAGCAGAAGCTCCCGCAAGGTAAGCGCCTTGGCACTTGGCAGTGGCTCAATGGCTCATGGTTTTGATTCCCAGCTGCAAGCTTGATGGCGCCGTGTGGTCGGGTCGGGATCATCTTTTTCCCCACGAACAGGTGATCTAGTGTCCAAAGCCTCCGCAAGTCCTTGTTTTCTAATGTTCACTGTTTTTAGCTTCAGATTGCAGAGAGATCGATTACTCTCCCGGGAGGAAGACTGAATGGCAAACGGATTGTAATCACTCCAGTTCATCGATGAGTTTGGACCTCGGCCATGGCGTTGACAAGGTACTTTCTTCTTCCTCTCTTTACTCCATCAGTTCCTTCTCCTTTTGAGCGAGCTCTAAAAGTTCTTCTCAGAGCCGAGCGACAATCCCTCACATCAAAAGGCTAAAGTCTTTCTTCGGTTGATCTGGAGACTAGGCTTTGCAGTTGAATTCTCGTCCGTGTTTCGCCTGCTGTGGATTATCACTTAGGACTCACGACGAATAACCAAAAGGCCTTGGAAACATTGGTGCGCAGGTGATCAAAGTTTTTGGAAACTTTGAAAGCTAAAGTTCTTGCTTCCAGCAAGTTAAAAAACTGTCTACTTATTCGTTCAGGAGGATTCCAGCTCTGGAACCCACGCTGGAGATTTGAAAAAGGAGTGGAACGCATGGACGTTTTCAACACCATCCTCTGGGGGCTGTAAGTTTGGTTCCATCATCTCAAAAGTCTTTTTTTTGTTCACTTTTTTCTTCCAGATCTTTTGGAAAGCTGCTCCAGATCTTGCTGCTTTTGGCAAAGGCCAGACCCCATCCTGGAGATGATAAATTGGAAACCATCCAGCTAGCATCTGGTATAGCTCAGGTAAGAAACGATCTAAGGAAGCATCGACCTCTATCCATCCTGGCCTGACCAGCAGCTAGCAGGAAATGATCTAAGGAAGCATTGAGCTCTATCCATCCTGGCCTGACCAGCAGCTACCAGATTCAAGTCTACACAGATTTTGTGAGCCCGAATAAATAAAACTTCGAACCCTTTTCACTGTTCCCTAGGGTTTTCCGGGAGCAAGCGGAGGAATGGCGTCTCTCGAGGTAAGAATCCTGGCATCCCATTACTTTTAACAATCTCTGGTTTAGGAGCCTTTGATCGTAGTCTCCGAGCCAGTCGTGGACGCGATAGCCAGTCTCCCGGACGCGACAGCGAGTCTCCAGGACGAGGTAAAGCATTTCTTTATTCCCCATTGTCTCATTTGTGGTTGCCACGTCAGCTCCACGTTGTGCCACATCAGCACCACGTCGTACCACACCAGCGCCAGCAGAACGCGCCAGAGCGAGACCAGGTAAAAAGCACCTTGATTTCTTTTGTATGGATTTGATGTGATCAGCACCAGGACGAGCGCCACCAGGAGACGCTGATGGAAAAGGCATTCAAGGTGATTTTGCAAGTTTTGTTTTTTTTTGTTTCATGTTTTTGTTTTTTTTGTTTCATGTTTTTGTTTTTGCTTTTGTAGATCTCAGCTGTCCTTGCATCGGTAATTCTGTACGTTTTGCCGGTTTTCCTCGCGAAAACAGCGTTACTCCCGGGGACTCAACTAGCCATATTATATGGCACTTCGAGTAATTGCTTTTTTTTTTAATCTTTCATTCACTAATGTTTATAAAATTTTTTTTGCAGCTTTGAACTGCATAAGCTGGTTTGTGTATGGCCGAATTGAACAAGATGTGGTGGTCGAGAACGTGAACCTCCTTGGGCTCGTAACAGGGCTCATGTTTACCGTGCATACTGTCGGCGATGTTACCTGGTGGCCTGCGCTGGGTGGTTCATTCGTGTGGCCGCTTCTTGTTGCAGTGGCTTACTACGTTTTTCTCTACGGGTTGTACGGGAACTTCAAAAAGGAGAAAGTGTGCTGCTGCGAACTCACGGTCATGGACTTTTTTGGTATCACCACCACTGTCCTTGCCTCAGGGGTGCCGCTGTGCTTTCGTGCTGTAAGATTGTGTATTTTTTTGCAGTGGCTTCTTGAGAGTTTTCTTTTTGTGATGCAGGTGACGATGATCAGCAATACCAGCAAAGCCACAGGGTCTCCTCTCGTTCCACTGATGGCGACGGCGTGTAACATCCTGTGGGCTGCTTACACCCATATGGCAAAAAAGAAAACCATGCGTGTAAGTATTCGTTCTTTCGTACTCCAACTAAGCTATGAGCTTTTGTATGTAGGCTGCTAGCATTTCAGCAGCTGTGCTAGCTGGAGCCCTCTCCATCCTCTCGGTGAAAGAGAGGATGCTTTGACATCATGCTTACTTCTCAGCTCACTTGCGTCACACTTTTTTTCTCTACAGAATGTAGAGCTTGTCGTTTTTTTGGAACTCTACGCGTCCCGTAGAGTTCACGCGAGAATAAAACGAACGAAGTCTTGACGCACACTGCCACGTAAGATCTCGCATGAATCGGTTCTGTAACGTGGCCAAACTGTTGAAATGAATCGGAGGAAACCAAGTAACTGTCAAAGCTCGGATGGAGATGGATAAGCTACAGGATAGTTTTTACTTATCCCATTCTGCTGTCCATGTCGCAGGAATCGGAACGCTCGTCAAGTGGACCAGTGGCTTTGCCATAGCTGAGAAGGTAGAGTAGTCGCCTGCCCATTCGTTTTTCCATGTAGGCAGACATAACGGCTCGGGTAAGGAATACTCTTGAGAAAAATATTCACTTCCGATTGTTTTCTTTGTTTCCAGGATTATCTGGAGATCATGAGAGTTTGTGTTCGTGTTCGGATAAAGATGGAGGCTGATGCACATGAACCAAATTCACTGCGTAAGTACAAATAGGTCCTCATGAAATAGCTGTGAACGGTTTTCCTTTTCTTTACCAGTGGACTCGAATCGGGATCCCTCGGACTTGTTTTCCACAGCATGCAAAGATGTGTTTTTGGATTAACACTGGATTGGAGCAAGCTGACACTATGTTGTTGTCGCAGTTGGGCTTCAAACGAATCCTCGGCACCTACACTCACCGGGAAAGCAACTTGAGACTGTCCGAAAGGAGTCGACGGGTCTGGACGACCATTGTGCTGAGCTCGCGGGCACACTTATCAACGTCTGACCATTACGACTCAAGCAAGTTCGTCCATGTCCGTGCTGATGGAACTAAAGCTCGAGTGCTTGTCCAGATCGGTGGCTACGGGATCCTTTTGTGTATCCTCTTCAGTTGCTTGAGTGCCACCTATTGCAAGTATTCAAGAGGACATCTGTGTCAGCAAGACGACTTTCAACGCTGTTGCAATTCTTTTCGAAGATTTTGGAGCAGACTCTGTGAAGTTTGTTACAGACAAGCTCGGACGTTAAGGGAAAGGAGAAACAGCTGCGACAATGAGCTAAGTCGAATGTAGCAAAAAGGAAGAGATCCGTCTTGTAGGTAACCGCTTCTCTTACACTCGTTTGTTTGCATTAACATCTGCTTATTTGCAAGATGTGATGGAGAAACTTTTCAGAGCATTTTTGGAGCTAGTCATCGTTCCTGGTATTTCTATGTTTTTCTTACATCTCACAGCGATATCTAGTGCCCTAGTCGCGGTAGCAGGAATGGATTGGATGGATGCATTCCACGGTATTGTGATCGGGGTTGTTGCCTTGCACGGGAGCACTCTGCCCAAATCCAGTTCAGGCTCAGGCCTTCTTAGACGAAGGTATTTCGTTTTTCTTTACTGAAGTTCTATTGAAGCGAGGTGTTCGTTTCGTCCAGGATGACTTTGTCCTGGAGAAGAACAGTGGAGGAGGAGCGTTTGGATCCATCCGTCTACAAAGGATCGTTTGCGAAATCCTCAAAAGAAGGTGCGTGGGTTTTGTTCTTTGATTTTTCTCGATGACGGATTTACGATGGTTTGCTGATCCCTCTCTTTCTCTCTGGTGTTTCATATATCTTTGGTTCTAGAGAGTCAATCCGAAGGAGGAGTTTTTGCTTGTGTGGCGTTACGAAGGTGTGGTGCCTCTCGTAAACTTCATGAGTAGCAAGGATTTTCCTTACAATGTTAGTGAGTTTTCGGTTTCATGCAGAAAATCTCAAATCGCGACAGACAGGTTGAGAAGGCGTTGAGCTTGAAGACTACACAGCTTGCCAAAGGTGCCGAGCGAGAATTCCAGATGGAGCTATTAAAATGTTTGAGGGGGCCTGGGATTCATCTTTCTGACGGTAAGCTTGTAGATATGTAGTCGTTGTTTCTTAACAGTTGGATGTTTTGTAGAGTCGAAGTCCTTCAAGATTATTGATCTCGGTCGGTGAGGACTTGCTACTTGGCATCGACTACATTCCGCAAGAGTTCCTACTGGATCCAAGGTGTGAGTTGTAATTTCTTTTCAACTTCGCGTACAGAAAGTTTCCTGACATTTTTTCTATGTTCAAGGTACGCTGCACCAGAGCTGTACGTTATGAGCACTCAGACTCCCTCCGCTCCATCGCCTGTCATTGCAACAGCACTCTCTCCAGTTCTATGGCAGGTTTATACCAGTCAATATTTTCTGTGACAGATCACGAACTTTGATCCTTACAGCTAAACCTGCAAGACCGCTACAGCCTCGGATTGATGTTCTTGCAAATGGTAAGTCCAGCTGATACATCTATCAATGGCAGGTGTTTTCGAAACTGAGAAGCGATAGTGCTCTCATCCAGTTCAATGAAGCGCATGAATCACGACTTAGTTGCGTGGAGAAACTTGGTGGACGCTCGGCGAAATCCGGGCGTTCAACGTGGCTTCGAGATTCTGGACGGAGGAGCTGGCTGGGAGCTGCTCCAAGCGATGATGCAGTTTAAAGGTCGCCAACGTATCAGTGCCTGGCCTGTCCCACAATGTCCTCGGGCACCAGCGACCACAGCTACCATCGGGTTGTCCCTGTCGAGACGGAAGTAGCGTACTCCTAGTTACTTAGACAAGGATTCAATTCAATGTGCATTCTTTCCTTTCTTTTCTGATGTAGACTGTGAGATCAAAACATGGGAAGGCCTTTGATCAAAGTCCACAATCAAACCTCTCGCAGCCAGCTCCAAGTGTAAAGTTTGCTCAGCTTGTTCAAAGTTGAGCAACATCATGCGAATGGTAGAGACGAAAGAACTAAAAGAAGAATCTTGCATGGCCTCGCAAAGCACCAGAACTTTCTTGCTTTCGTTGAACGCCGCTAAACTGCCTTCAAGCTCCATTCACAGATCTTGCATCTTGGCAAGGAACTCTTCAAAGTTCTCGCCTGGATGAAAACGAGTCTCAGGAACGCAAGTCTCGACCATGCTGATCTTGGAGAGGGAAAGAACAACATACTTGTTGTGAAAATGAGCCCAGATCTCACAAGCACTCTTATGACACAAACGCATCATAAAGGCATCTACAAGCTTAGAAAGAATCAATCCTTTTACTCAAGATTCCTTCATCTCCAGCACAGCTTGTTCCCCAGGATCAAGCTATTGTCGAGCTGATGCAACAGAGGCACGAATTGCCTCTTCATCCACGACTTCTCCTTCCACCGAAGTTGAAGCTCCAAATGCAGCAGGGGCTCACCATGTATGAGCATCTGCAGCGATCGTCGGTGGTGAAACGATTTCCCAGAGTTCTTCCATCTGCAGCACGCACATCATTTTCTCAGACCAGGTGTTGAACCCTCTCCTCCCATCAAAGGCAGTGACTCCCTGAAGCAAGATCAATCCAACTTTGCTGCAGCTCATGATGTGAGGCACAAAGAAAGGAGAAGAAAGAATTCAGAAACTGAGCTCCGATACCATGAAAGAAAAGCGGAGCAAGAACAACAGATTTCACTTTTGATTCATGTATGGTTGTATATATATACAACTTCAATCAAATCAAAAATCACCAGAGATCTGATCACGATTCGGACTGCTTCTGATATGAATCATCTTGCTTGTCATGTTCATCATTATTCCTACAATTACAATCCGGTTGCCATTCAGTCTTCCTCCCAGGAGAGTAATCGATCTCTCTGCAATCTGAAGCTGTAAACACAGTGAACATTAGAAAACAAGGACTTGCAGAGGCTTTGGACACTAGATCACCTGTTCGTGGGGAAAAAGATGATGCCGACCCGACCACACGGCCCCATCAAGCTTGCAGCTGGGAATCAAAACCATGAGCCCTTGAGCCACTGCCAGGGCGCTTACCTTGCTGCTGAGCTCCGCAAAACGGAGGGAAAGGGAGCGATCAAAACTGCGAGCCAGTGAACCGTAGAATGCGCTTACGTTGCCAGAGGAGCAATCGCGGAATAGTGCTCGGCAGAGACCACTAAATCCAGCCCATGTATCGGGATCGGACCATATATAACTGGGATCTTATCCCATATCCCAAAAGAACAGCCGTTGGATGAAACGGTCTAGGTGCTCTTGAGAGAGGGTTTGGGGAAAGGGAATTTCTAGGTTTCCTACCATGGAGCAGGGATTGTTGAGCCCAAATGGTGAGTATGCGCTTGGTGATATCTACAAGGCCTGGGATCTTAGACGCCACTGGATTATATGGCGCCAGTTCTTGATGATTCTTGTGAATCACTGCTTCACTCTATATGGATTTTATGTAGCTACCATACATTGGCCCCCTCAGTTATCTGCAGAAGTGGGATGCCTTGCTTTCATAGTGATTACATTCTTCACAGGTAAGCTTTTGTGTTTATTTTCTCTTTTTATTATCTAACAAGAGGTCCCTCCCTCCAGCGCTTCTGTATGCCCTCTTTGGTCGAAAGAAACCCGTTACATATGGTTTTCTTGTTGGAGGCATCAGTGGTATCCTTTCCACAATGAGCACAGATCCAAGGGTGGTGATCCCACTGGGGCTAATATTTTTCTGTGGATTCTACACTCCGGCAATACAACTGGCTCCTGACGATTGGTACGACGGGGCCAGTTGGTTCGTCATGACCGTGATTTTCACCACAAGGTGTCTGCTTTACATCGGTTCTTGTGTTGTGGCCACGGCTGCTCCACCGCTGGGATGGAAAGCACAAGCCACTGTACTCTTGGGATGCAGCGCTGCAATTGTCTACGCCAGTCTGCTTCGTCACTACATGTTGCAGTCTCCAAGTGAAGCTCTAGAGGGCTGCTGCGATGGTTTGGCAAGGCTGCAACCAGTGGATACAGTTGATAAGGACAAGCGGCATGCCGTGCGACAAGAGAAGGCCATTCAAGCCTTGAGGGAGTTTGCCGAGGCAACAGGGAATACCTTACCAGAAAATCTCAAGAGCCTCAAGGCACCGAATATTTGTCGCTACTGATAGACTTAAAAAGAGTGTAGAGATTCAGTTCCGAGAAAGCCTTCTTTACACGTCCTCTTCAAGTCCGAGTTTTATTTATTATTTCAGCTAGCGTGGTGGCCAATCAAAAAGCTAGATTTTAGTGTTCTCTGTATACAATCTATTTAAATCTATCGTTAGTGTTGTAGACATTCAGGTGAAACTTTGAAACTTTTCAGAGCATTTTGGAGCTAGTCATCGTTCCTTGCAATCTATGTCTTACATCTCACAGGGATATAAAAGTTCATGAGCCGAGCAACCAAGTTGACTCATGACGAAACCTTAAACAAATCACCTACAGTCATCGTCACTCGACCTGGGACCGTATGATTCGACGATCATACAGCCAGATTGTGCTGATTCGGACAACAGGCTCGAGGGAACACTGAAACCAAGAGCACCAGTCAATACCTTTCACAGGCGTTGGTTCCATGAGGGACGATCACGAGGACTCAGCATGACCAAACGATCCCGTAGCCAACGATTTTGACAGGCAACTCCCACCAGCAAGAGGCTTACTAGCTCGGACTTTCCAGAGCTTTTCGACAAAATATTCACTTCCGATTGTTTTCTTTCATGAAAACCAGCCTGGCCTTGGATATCTTGTGTGAATATTTTTCTCAAGAGTATTCCTTACCCGACGACTGGTATGACGGGTTGGTTTGACTGGTTGAGTGTGCTCGCATTATTCCTCGTTGACCTCCTCAACCTGGTCAAGATACATAAATCACATCAGGCATGGGACGGAAACCGGCGAAGATTCAAGGACAAAGATAAAGATGTTCGGATAAAGATGGAGGCCATATGAAATTCTTGTAGATTGTTCTTGCGATGGTTTGGCGACAAGAGAGGATGCCAACAAGCTGCTTGAGGTGTGACAAGAGAAGGCTATTGAAGCTTTGAGGGAGTTTGCCGAGGCTCCAGGATGGTGTATCCGGCAGCTCGGCCTGGCTGAATGCAGCCAGACTGGGAGCAGCGTTTCCAACAGATCTGGAAGAACTGCAGTCTCCAGCGTCGTTTCCAGCGCTCGAGCGTAAGAATCCAAGGCTTATCGAATAAGACTCTCTGGAAGGAAGATCAAAGTTTGGACCTGTTTTGGTCCTATGTGCACCATCCACACGCGAGAGCGATGCCGGGAACAACAGCAAGAGAGACGAGCATAAGTTGCCACACGGACGAGAATCCAACTGCAAAGCCTGAGACGAATCCTTCCATATGTAGTGGAGATATGGATCAAACGAGAAAATCAAAGACTCGCCGGGTCGAACGTCTTGGCTGAGCATCGATCCCATTTTTCTAGAGCTCGCTTGAAAGGGAGGAACTCCCAGTGAAAACTAGCTTAGAAGGAAGAAGAGAACGAAGTCATAAATCAGGAAAGCTTCTATCGATCAAGGGATGAACCTTCGAGCCAAGCTTGGCATAGTTTGCAGCACCAAACTCATTCCCAAAGAAGATGGAATCGCTGCTCCGCACCCAGTCCCTCTTCTTTTCCTTCTTCGTCCTGAAATCGCGATATTCTCCACCTCGCTGTCCTTGAATCTTCGCTGGTTTCCATCCCATGCCTGATGTGATTTATGCCCAGTGCTTATCTTGACCAGGTTGAGGAGGAATAATGCGAGCACACCTGATCCTTTCCATAAATTTCCTTTCACTCAAACCAATCAAGATCATCAGTTGACTGAGATGGAGAGCGTCAGATCGATCGGTCTAGAACGATAAGCCGTTTGATACAAGCTCGTGCGCGACCTTTCTCTTCATCGCTTTGAAAAACTCTAGGAAAGTTTTTTCTTCCTTGCGCCTTCGAAAGTCTTATTTGCCATTTGACGGCATGTTTTTTATTTAAGGACTTTTGATTGATGCAAATTTAAGAGGATGTAAAGGAATTTGTAAGTTACCATGAGATTGTTGAGCCCAAATGGTGAGTATGCTCTTGGTGATATCTACAAGGCCTGAATCTTGTGAGTCACTGCTTCAGTGCATATGGAATTTATGTAGCTACGGTATATTGGCTCCCTGAGCCTGAGCCTGGGGGGTGGGTGTGCGTTGGTTTCAATTTACTTTTACTATCATGTAAGCTTTGTTTTCCTTTATCTCTCTAGAGACTAACTCCTACATCCAGTTGTTTCCTATGTTTTCTTTGGTTGAAAAAAAGTTGTCACATACGGCTTTCTTATTGGAGGCACCAGCGGTATCTGTTCCACAATTATCACAAGTCCAAAACTGGTGAATCTACTTGTATTAATAGTATTCTCTGGATTATTTACAATACAACCGATGATTGGTGTGACAGGGTTGGTTTGCTCAAGTTCATCCTGGTCTCTATTATGAGTTGGTTGCTTTACATTGGTTCTAGTGTTGTGGCTATCGCTACTCCGCCGTTGGGATCAAAATTACAAACCATTGTAGTCGTGGGATCAAGTGCTGCAATTGTCTATGTGGGGCTAGTTCATGTCTACATGTTGCAGTCTCCGTATGAAATTCTTGTAGATTGTTTTTGCGATGGTTTGGCGACAAGAGATGCTTGAGGTGCGACAAGAGAAGACCATTGAAGCTTTGAGGGAGTTTGCCAAGGCAACCGGGAATACTTTACCGGAAAATCTGAAGAGCCTCAACTTCAAGAAACTAAAGCAGAACTATAATGACGTTTGTTGAATTACGATCGTTACTTTTAGAGCTTGATTAGCCATAAATGATTGCAAATCATGTAAGATAATCTGGTATTTCTATGAACTCACTTTCTTTTCTTACATCTCACAGGGTTGCATCATGCCATACTTTCTCACACATTCACGCGGTAGATTTTTTTCGGTGGTACTTATTTTAAAGTTTGATAGCAGAGTCAAAAGGCCAATTTCAAACGACTAGCTCCAGACAGTTTTTCCACCATATTTTGCAGGGGAGCAAATCAGATAATAACTGGATAGGCAGTGATGCGAAGAAACACAAAGAAAAGAAGCGGTTACCTCCAAGTCGGATCCATGCACCAGTCTTTGTACAACCGTCCTCACTTACTGACAAGCTCTGTGTTACGAAAGGGGAAAGTCCCCAGCAAATACTCCAAAATCCGCAGCCTGCGACAATGAGGTAAGTCGAATGTAGCGACATGTAAAAAGAAACATAGACCTTCAATCAGTAAAAAGGATTGCAGCAGCGTTGCCTTCGATCCTGCCAAGGGATAGTCTTGCTGCCACAGATATCCTCTTGAATGCTCACGATATATCTGGCAAGTCCGAGCTAGTAAGGCGCTTGCTGGTGGGAGTTGCTTGTCAAAGTCGTCCTCGTGCCCGTCCCTGATGGAACCAACGCTTGTGAAAGGTTTGACTGGTGCTCTTGGTTTCAGTGTTCCCTCGAGCCTGTTGTCCGAATCAGCACAATCTGGCTGTATGATCGTCGAATCATACAGTCCCAAGTCGAGCTTCCGAGCTAGTTGACGATGACTGTAGGTGACAATTCGTTTAAGGTTTCGTCATGAGTCAACTTGGTTGCTCGGCTCCTCAGCTCAACTGTACATGAACTTTTATATCCCAGTGAGATGTAAGACATAGAAACACCACATTGCAAGGAAACGCTGACTAGCTCCAAAATGCTCTGAAATGTTTCGAACTTTCACTGATAGACTTAAATAGATTGTGGAGAAACTAAAATCTAGCTTTTTGATTTATGTTATAATAAATAAAACTCGGACTTGAAGAGGAAAATTACAAAGCATTTTAGGCAAGCAGCGATGCACACCAGACGTAAACAAGGCTTTCTCGGAACTGAATGTCTACACTCTTCAAGGCTAACAGTAGCCACAAATATTAATATTCACTCAGGTGCCTTGAGGCTCTTGAGATTTTCTGGTAAAGTATTCTCTGTTGCCTCGGCAAACTCCCTCAACGCTTGAATGGCCTTCTCTTGTCGCACGGCATGCCGCTTGTCCTTATCAACTGTATCCACTGGTTGCAGCCTTGCCAAACCATCGCAGCAGCCCTCTAGAGCTTCACTTGGAGACTGCAGCATGTAGTCATGAAGCAGGCTGGCGTAGACAATTGCAGCGCTGCATCCCAAGAGTACAGTGGCTTGTGCTTTCCATCCCAGCGGTGGAGCAGCCGTGGCCACAACACAAGAACCGATGTAAAGCAGACACCTTGTGGTGAAAATCACGGTCATGACGAACCAACTGGCCCCGTCGTACCAATCGTCAGGAGCCAGTTGTATTGCCGGAGTGTAGAATCCACAGAAAAATATTAGCCCCAGTGGGATCACCACCCTTGGATCTGTGCTCATTGTGGAAAGGATACCACTGATGCCTCCAACAAGAAAACCATATGTAACGGGTTTCTTTCGACCAAAGAGGGCATACAGAAGCGCTGGAGGGAGGGACCTCTTGTTAGATAATAAAAAGAGAAAATAAACACAAAAGCTTACCTGTGAAGAATGTAATCACTATGAAAGCAAGGCATCCCACTTCTGCAGATAACTGAGGGGGCCAATGTATGGTAGCTACATAAAATCCATATAGAGTGAAGCAGTGATTCACAAGAATCATCAAGAACTGGCGCCATATAATCCAGTGGCGTCTAAGATCCCAGGCCTTGTAGATATCACCAAGCGCATACTCACCATTTGGGCTCAACAATCCCTGCTCCATGGTAGGAAACCTAGAAATTCCCTTTCCCCAAACCCTCTCTCAAGAGCACCTAGACCGTTTCATCCAACGGCTGTTCTTTTGGGATATGGGATAAGATCCCAGTTATATATGGTCCGATCCCGATACATGGGCTGGATTTAGTGGTCTCTGCCGAGCACTATTCCGCGATTGCTCCTCTGGCAACGTAAGCGCATTCTACGGTTCACTGGCTCGCAGTTTTGATCGCTCCCTTTCCCTCCGTTTTGCGGAGCTCAGCAGCAAGGTAAGCGCCCTGGCAGTGGCTCAAGGGCTCATGGTTTTGATTCCCAGCTGCAAGCTTGATGGGGTGTGGTCGGGTCGGGATCATCTTTTTCCCCACGAACAGGTGATCTAGTGTCCAAAGCCTCTGCAAGTCCTTGTTTTCTAATGTTCACTGTTTTTACAGCTTCAGATTGCAGAGAGATCGATTACTCTCCTGGGAGGAAGACTGAATGGCAACCGGATTGTAATCACTCCAGTTCATCAATGAGTTTGGGGCGAACTGATGACCCGACCCACTTTCTTCTTCCTCCCTTTACTCCCTGGATCGCTACATCCATCAGTTCCTTCCACGCTAGTTTCCCTTCCTTTCTCTAAAAGTTCTCCTCCGATGAACTTACGCTCGAGCGCTGGAAACGACGGTGGAGAAGTGAACATTTCTTCCAGATCTGTTGGAAACGCTGCTCCCAGTCTGGCTGCATTCAGCCAAGGCCGAGCTGCCGGATACACCATCCTGGAAATTCAAGAAGGTCGACAGCGTCCAAGAATCATCGCGATTGACAAAGTGTGACCGATCTTCCACCCGCGAGAATGACCGTTGGGAGCAGCGGATATCCGGCAAGAGCTCCTCATTTCTACGATCCCAGTCAGAGCCCGGGCAGAAAAGAAAGGAAAGAATGCACATTGAACTGAATCCTTGTCTAAGTAGCTAGGAGTACGCTACTTCCGTCTCGACAGGGACAACCCGATGGTAGCTGTGGTCGCTGGTGCCCGAGGACATTGTGGGACAGGCCAGGCACTGATACGTTGGCGACCTTTAAACTGCATCATCGCTTGGAGCAGCTCCCAGCCAGCTCCCCCGTCCAGAATCTCGAAGCCACGTTGAACGCCCGGATTTCGCCGAGCCTCCACCAAGTTTCTCCACGCAACTAAGTCGTGATTCATGCGCTTCATTGAACTGGATGAGAGCACTATCGCTTCTCAGTTTCGAAAACACCTGCCATTGATAGATGTATCAGCTGGACTTACCATTTGCAAGAACATCAATCCGAGGCTGTAGCGGTCTGGCAGGTTTAGCTGTAAGGATCAAAGTTCGTGATCTGTCACAGAAAATATTGACTGGTATAAACCTGCCATAGAACTGGAGAGAGTGCTGTTGCAATGACAGGCGATGGAGCGGAGGGAGTCTGAGTACTCATAACGTACAGCTCTGGTGCAGCGTACCTTGAACATAGAAAAAATGTCAGGAACCTTTCTTTACGCGAAGTTGAAAAGAAATTACAACTCAGACCTTGGATCCAGTAGGAACTCTTGCGGAATGTAGTCCCTCACCGACCGAGATCAATAATCTTGAAGGACTTCGACTCTACAAAACATCCAACTGTTAAGAAACAATGACTACATATCTACAAGCTTACCGTCGGAAAGATGAATCCCAGTCTCCCTCAAACATTTTAATAGCTCGATCTGGAATTCTCGCTCGGCACCTTTGGCAAGCTGTGTAGTCTTCAAGCTCAACGCCTTCTCAACTTGTCTGTCGCGATTTGAGATTTTCTGCATGAAACCGAAAACGCACATTGTAAGGAAAATCCTTGCTACTCATGAAGTTTACGAGAGGCGCCACACCTTCGTAACGCCACACAAGCAAAAACTCCTCCTTCGGATTGACTCTCTAGAACCAAAGATATATGAAACGCCAGAGAGAGAGAGGGATCAGCAAACCATCGTAAATCCGTCATCGAGAAAAATCAAAGAACAAAACCCACGCACCTTCTTTTGAGGATTTCGCAAACGAACCTTTGTAGACGGATGGATCCAAACGCTCCTCCTCCACTGTTCTTCTCCAGGACAAAGTCATCCTGGACGAAACGAACACCTCGCTTCAATAGAACTTCAGTAAAGAAAAACGAAATACCTTCGTCTAAGAAGGCCTGAGCCTGAACTGGATTTGGGCAGAGTGCTCCCGTGCAAGGCAACAACCCCGACCACAATACCGTGGAATGCATCCATCCAATCCATCCCTGCTACCGCGACTAGGGCACTAGATATCGCTGTGAGATGTAAGAAAAACATAGAAATACCAGGAACGATGACTAGCTCCAAAAATGCTCTGAAAAGTTTCTCCATCACATCTTGCAAATAAGCAGATGTTAATGCAAACAAACGAGTGTAAGAGAAGCGGTTACCTACAAGACGGATCTCTTCCTTTTTGCTACATTGGACTTAGCTCATTGTCGCAGCTGTTTCTCCTTTCCCTTAACGTCCGAGCTTGTCTGTAACAAACTTCACAGAGTCTGCTCCAAAATCTTCGAAAAGAATTGCAACAGCGTTGAAAGTCGTCTTGCTGACACAGATGTCCTCTTGAATACTTGCAATAGGTGGCACTCAAGCAACTGAAAGTTCGTCCATGTCCGTGCTGATGGAACTAAAGCTCGAGTGCTTGTCCAGATCGGTGGCTACGGGATCCTTTTGTGTATCCTCTGCTTGAGTCGTAATGGTCAGACGTTGATAAGTGTGCCCGCGAGCTCAGCACAATGGTCGTCCAGACCCGTCGACTCCTTTCGGACAGTCTCAAGTTGCTTTCCCGGTGAGTGTAGGTGCCGAGGATTCGTTTGAAGCCCAACTGCGACAACAACATAGTGTCAGCTTGCTCCAATCCAGTGTTAATCCAAAAACACATCTTTGCATGCTGTGGAAAACAAGTCCGAGGGATCCCGATTCGAGTCCACTGGTAAAGAAAAGGAAAACCGTTCACAGCTATTTCATGAGGACCTATTTGTACTTACACAGTGAATTTGGTTCATGTGCATCAGCCTCCATCTTTATCCGAACACGAACACAAACTCTCATGATCTCCAGATAATCCTGGAAACAAAGAAAACAATCGGAAGTGAATATTTTTCTCAAGAGTATTCCTTACCCGAGCCGTTATGTCTGCCTACATGGAAAAACGAATGGGCAGGCGACTACTCTACCTTCTCAGCTATGGCAAAGCCACTGGTCCACTTGACGAGCGTTCCCGATTGCTGCGACATGGACAGTAGAATGGGATAAGTAAAAACTATCCTGTAGCTTATCCATCTCCATCCGAGCTTTGACAGTTACTTGGTTTCCTCCGATTCATTTCAACAGTTTGGCCACGTTACGCGAGATCTCAAGACTTCGTTCGTCTTATTCTCGCGTGAACTCTACGGGACGCGTAGAGTTCCAAAAAAACGACAAGCTCTACGTTCTGTAGAGAAAAAAAGTGTGACGCAAGTGAGCTGAGAAGTAAGCATGATGTCAAAGCATCCTCTCTTTCACCGAGAGGATGGAGAGGGCTCCAGCTAGCACAGCTGCTGAAATGCTAGCAGCCTACATACAAAAGCTCATAGCTTAGTTGGAGTATGAAAGAACGAATACTTACACGCATGGTTTTCTTTTTTGCCATATGAGTGTAAGCAGCCCACAGGATGTTACACGCCGTTGCCATCCCTGGAACGAGAGGAGACCCTGTGGCTTTGGTGGTATTGCTAACCATTGTCACCTGCATCACAAAAAAAAAAAAACTCTCAAGAAGCCACTGCAACAGAATAAACAATCTTACAGCACGAAAGCACAGTGGCACCCCTGAAGCAAGGACAGTGGTGGTGACACCAACGATGTCCATGACCGTAAGTTCGCAGCACACTTTCACTTTCTCCTTTTTGAAGATCCCGTACAACCCGTAGAGAAAAACGTAGTAAGCCACTGCAACAAGAAGCGGCCACACGAATGAACCACCCAGCGCAGGCCACCAGGTAACATCGCCGACAGTATGCACGGTAAACATGAGCCCTGTTACGAGCCCAAGGAGGTTCACGTTTTCGACCACCACATCTTGTTCAATTCGGCCATAGACAAACCAGCTTATGCAGTTTAAAGCTGCAAAAAAAAAATTATAAGCCTTAGTGGTTGAAAGATTAAAAAAAAAAGCAATTACTCGAAGTGCCATATAATATGGCTAATTGAGTCCCCGGGAGTAACGCTGTTTTCGCGAGGAAAACCGGCAAAACATACAGAATTACTGATGCAAGGACAGCTGATATCTACAAAAGCAAAAACAAAAACATGAAACAAAAAAAACAAAACTTGCAAAATCACCTTGAATGCCTTTTCCATCATGGTGGCGCTCGTCCTGGTGCTGATCACATCAAATTCATACAAAAGAAATCAAGGTGCTTTTTACCTGGTCTCGCTCTGGCGCGTTCTGCTGGCACTGGTGTGGTACGACGTGGTCCTGATGTGGCACAACGTGGAGCTGACGTGGCAACCACAAATGAGACAATGGGGAATAAAGAAATGCTTTACCTCGTCCTGGAGACTCGCTGTCGCGTCCGGGAGACTGGCTATCGCGTCCGCGACTGGCTCGGAGACTACGATCAAAGGCTCCTAAACCAGAGAATGTTAAAAGTAATGGGATGCCAAGATTCTTACCTCGAGAGACGCCATTCCTCCGCTTGCTCCCGGAAAACCCTAGGGAACAGTGAAAAGGGTTCGAAGTTTTATTTATTCGGGCTCACAAAATCTGTGTAGACTTGAATCTGGTAGCTGCTGGTCAGGCCAGGATGGATAGAGCTCAATGCTTCCTTAGATCATTTCCTGCTAGCTGCTGGTCAGGCCAGGATGGATAGAGGTCGATGCTTCCTTAGATCGTTTCTTACCTGAGCTATACCAGATGCTAGCTGGATGGTTTCCAATTTATCATCTCCAGGATGGGGTCTGGCCTTTGCCAAAAGCAGCAAGATCTGGAGCAGCTTTTCAAAAGATCTGGAAGAAAAAAGTGAACAAAAAAAAAGACTTTTGAGATGATGGAACCAAACTTACAGCCCCCAGAGGATGGTGTTGAAAACGTCCATGCGTTCCACTCCTTTTTCAAATCTCCAGCGTGGGTTCCAGAGCTGGAATCCTCCTGAACGAATGAGTAGACAGTTTTTTAACTTGCTGGAAGCAAGAACTTTAGCTTTCAAAGTTTCCAAAAACTTTGATCACCTGCGCACCAATGTTTCCAAGGCCTTTTGGTTATTCGTCGTGAGTCCTAAGTGATAATCCACAGCAGGCGAAACACGGACGAGAATTCAACTGCAAAGCCTAGTCTCCAGATCAACCGAAGAAAGACTTTAGCCTTTTGATGTGAGGGATTGTCGCTCGGCTCTGAGAAGAACTTTTAGAGCTCGCTCAAAAGGAGAAGGAACTGATGGAGTAAAGAGAAGAAAGTACCTTGTAGACGCCATGGCCGAGGTCCAAACTTACAATCCGTTTGCCATTCAGTCTTCCTCCCGGGAGAGTAATCGATCTCTCTGCAATCTGAAGCTAAAAACAGTGAACATTAGAAAACAAGGACTTGCGGAGGCTTTGGACACTAGATCACCTGTTCGTGAGGAAAAGGATGATCCGACCCGACCACACGGCCCCATCAAGCTTGCAGCTGGGAATCAAAACCATGAGCCATTGAGCCACTGCCAAGTGCCAAGGCGCTTACCTTGCGGGAGCTTCTGCTGCTGAGCTCTGCAAAATGGAGGGTAAGGGAGCGATCAAAACTGTGAGCCAGTGAACCGTAGAATGCGCTTACCTTGCCAGAGGAGCAATCGCGGACGGCCCTAAGGATCATCATTTGCTGACATAGTCATATGCTCGGCAGAGAATCCAGCCCATGTGGATATGGATACGATCGTATATCGTATATTGGATCGGACTGTATATAACTGCATATCCCAAAAGAACGGATAACTTGGTGATATCTACAAGGCCTGGGATCTTAGACGCCACTGGATTATACGGCGCCAGTTTTTGATGATTCTTGTGAATCACTGCTTCACTGCATATGGATTTTATGTAGCTACCATATATTGAACCCCTCAGTTATCTGCAGAAGTGAGGGATCTCACTCTTAACAAGTAAGCTTTTGTGTTTTTTTTTGTTCTTTTTTGTCTAACAAGAGGTCTCTTCTGTTCCTCCTCTTTGGTCGAAAGAAACCCGTTACATATGGTTTTCTTGTTGGAGGCATCAGTGGTATCCTTTCCACAATGAGCACAGATCCAAGGGTGGTGATCCTGCTGGGGGTGATGTTTTTCTGTGGATTCTACACTCCGGCAATACAACTGGCTCCTGACGATTGGTACGACGGGGCCAGTTGCTTCGTCATGACCGTGATTTTCACCACAAGAGTGTAGAGATTCAGTTCTCGACTTTTAGTTCTTTGCGTGTCACATATCAACTCTCAACCAAGGCTTCGTCATGAATCAACTTGGTTGCTCGGCTCCTCAGCCACCGGCTCAACTGCGACACAGCCATCGTTTATATCCCTGTGAGATGTAAGAAAAACATCCAGGAACGATGACTAGCTCCAAAATGCTCTGAAAAGTTTCTCCATCACATCTTGCAAATAAGCAGGTGTTAATGCAAACAAAGGAGTGTAAGAGAAGCGATTACCTACAAGACGGATCTCTTCCTTTTCGCTACATTCGACTTACCTCATTGTCGCAGCTGCAAGCGGCGGTTGGAGTTTAGCTCTGTTTCTGGGGCCCTTTCCGTCCGAGCTTGTCTGTAACAAACTTCAGAGAGTCTGCTCCAAAATCTTCGAAAAGAATTGCAACAGCGTTGAAAGTCGTCTTGCTGACACAGATGTCCTCTTGAATACTTGCGATAGGTGCCACTCAAGCAACTGAAAGTTCGTCCATGTCCGTGCTGATGGAACTAAAGCTCGAGTGCTTGTCCAAATCGGTGGCTACGGGATCCTTTTGTGTATCCTCTGCTTGAGTCGTAATGGTCAGACGTTGATAAGTGTGCCCTCGAGCTCAGCACAATGGTCGTCCAGACCCGTCGACTCCTTTCGGACAGCTCAAGTTGCTTTCCCGGTGAGTGTAGGTGCCGAGGATTCGTTTGAAGTTCAACTGCGACGACACGATATCCAAGGCCAGGCTGGTTGTCAAGCATACTCGTTGCCATGGCCGTAGTGTCAGCTTGCTCCAATCCAGTGCTAATCCAAAAACACATCTTTGCATGCTGTGGAAAACAAGTCCGAGAGTCCACTGGTAAAGAAAAGAAAAACCGTTCACAGCTATTCCATGAGGACCTATTTGTACTTACGCAGTGAATTTGGTTCATGTGCATCAGCCTCCATCTTTATTCGAACACAAACAGAAACTCTCATGATCTCCAGATAATCCTGGAAACAAAGAAAACAATCGGAAGTGAATATTTTTCTCAAGAGTATTCCTTACCCGAGCCGTTACGCCTGCCTACATGGAAAAATGAATGGGCTATACGACTACTCTACCTTCTCAGCTATGGCAAAGCCACTGGTCCACTTGACGAGCGTTCCCGATTACATGGACAGCGGAATGGGATAAGTAAAAATTATCCTGTAGCTTATCCATCTCCATCCGAGCTTTGACAGTTACTTGGTTTCCTCCAATTCATTTCAACAGTTTGGCCACGTTACAGAACCGATTCATGCGAGATCTTACGTGGCAGCGTGTGTTAGGACTTCCTTCGTTTTATTCTCGCGTGTACTCTACTAGACACATAGAGTTAAAGAAAAAACAAGTTCTACATTCTGTAAAGAAAAAAAGTGATCAAAAGCTCCTAAACAAAGGAATGTTAAAAGTAATGGGATCTTGGAAAACCCTAGGCAACAGTAAAAAGGTTCAAAGTTTTATTTATTCGGGCTGACAAAATCTGTGTAGAATTGAATCTGGTAGCGGTTGGTCAGGCCAGGATGGATAGAGCTCGATGCTTCCTTAGATCGTTTCCTACTTGGCATAGTAGCTGCTGGTCAGGCCAGGATGGATAGAGCTCTATGCTTCTTTAGATTGTTTCCTACCTGAGTTATGCCAAGCTAGGGCAGATGCTAGTTGGATGGTTTCCAATTTATCATCTCCAGGCGGTCCGGCCTTTGCCAAAAGCAGCTTTCCAAAAGATCTGGAAGATAAAAGTGAAAAAAAAGACTTTTGAGATGATAGAACCAAACTTACAGCCCCCAGAGGATGGTGTTGAAAACGTCCATGCGTTCCACTCCTTTTTCAAATCTCCAGCATGGGTTCCAGTGTTGGACTCCTCCTGAACTAACGAGTAGACGGTTTTTTTACTTGCTGGAAAAAAGAACTTTAGCTTTCAAAACTTTGATCACCTGCACACCAACGTTTCCAAGGCCTTTTGGTTATTCGTCGTAAGTCCTAAGTGATAATCCACCGCGGGAGAAACACGGACGAGAATTCAACTGCAAAGTCTAGTCTCCAGATCAACCGAAGAAAGACTTTAGTCTTTTGATGTGCTTCTTGAACGAGGGATTGTCGCTCGGCTCTGAGAAGAACTTTTAGAGAAAGGAAGGGAAACTAGCGTGGAAGGAACTGATGGATGTAGCGATCAAGGGAGTAAAGAGAGGAAGAAGAAAGTACCTTGTAGACGCCATGCGGGTGACTCGGGTCATCAGTTCGCCCCAAAGAACTGGAGTGATTACATTGTACAATCCAGTCTTCCTCCCGGGAGAGTAATCGATGTCTCTGCAATCTGAAGCTGTAAAAACAGTGAACATTAGAAAACAAGGACTTGCGGAGGCTTTGGACACTAGATCACCTGTTCGTGAAGAAAAAGATGATCCCGACCCGACCACACGGCCCCATCAAGCTTGCCAGGGCGCTTACCTTGCGAGCTTCTGCTGCTGAGCTCCGCAAAATGGAGGGAAAGGGAGCGATCAAGCAATCGCGGACGGCCAGTCATATGCCCACTTCGCGAACAATGGCCAGGATACGATCGTATATCGTATATTGGATCGGACTGTATATAACTGGGCATATCATGTTTGAGAGAGGGTTTGGGGAAAGGGAATTTCTAGGTTTCCTACCATGGAGCAGGGATTGTTGAGCCCAAATGGTGAGTATGCGCTTGGTGATATCTACAAGGCCTGGGATCTTAGACGCCACTGGATTATACGGCGCCAGTTCTTGATGAATCTTGTGAATCACTGTTTCACTCTATATGGATTTTATGTAGCTACCATATATTGGCCCCCTCAGTTATCTGCAGAAGTGGGATGCCTTGCCTTCATAGTGATTACATTCTTCACAAGTAAGCTTTTGTGTTTATTTTCTGTTTTTCTTATCTAACAAGAGGTCTCCCCCTCCAGTGCTTTTGTATCTCCTCTTTGGTCGAAAGAAACCCGTTACATATGGTTTTCTTGTTGGAGGCATCAGTGGTATCCTTTCCACAATGAGCACAGATCCAAGGGTGGTGATCCCACTGGGCCTAATATTTTTCTGTGGATTCTACACTCCGGCAATACAACTGGCTCCTGACGATTGGTACGACGGGGCCAGTTGCTTCGTCATGACCGTGATCTTCACCACAAGGTGTCTGCTTTACATCGGTTCTTGTGTTGTGGCCGCGGCTGCTCCACCGCTGGGATGGAAAGCACAAGCCACTCTACTCTTGGGGTGCAGCGCTGCAATTGTCTACGCCAGTCTGCTTCATGACTACATGCTGCAGTCTCCAAGTGAAGCTCTAGAGGGCTGCTGCGATGGTTTGGCAAGGCTGCAACCAGTGGATACAGTTGATAAGGACAAGCGGCATGCCGTGCGACAAGAGAAGGCCATTCAAGCCTTGAGGGAGTTTGCCGAGGCAACAGGGAATACTTTACCAGAAAATCTCAAGAGCCTCAAGGCACCGGAGTGAATATTAATATTTGTGGCTACTGTTAGACTTGAAGAGTGTAGACATTCAGTTCCGAGAAAGCCTTGTTTACGTCTGGTACTCATCGCTGCTTGCCTAAAATGCTTTGTAATTTTCCTCTTCAAGTCCGAGTTTTATTTATTATAACATAAATGTTTCAGCTAGCGCGGAGGCCAATCAAAAAGCTAGATTTTAGTGTTCTCCACAATCTATTTAAATCTATCGTTAGACATTCAGGTGAAAGTTCGAAACTTTTCAGAGCATTTTGGAGCTAGTCATCGTTCCTTGCAATCTGGTGTTTCTATGTCTTACATCTCACAGGGATATGTGGTGTTCATGTCACAGTTGAGCCGGGAGCAACCAAGTTGACTCATGACGAAACCTTAAACGAATCCTTGTCACCTACTTGGGACCGTATGATTCGACGATCATACAGCCAGATTGTGCTGATTCGGACAACAGGCTCGAGGGAACACTGAAACCAAGAGCACCAGTCAATACCTTTCACAAGCGTTGGTTCCATCAGGGACGAGCACGAGGGCTCAGCATGACCCCGTAGCCAACGATTTTGACAAGCAACTCCCACAAGAGTCCAGGCCTTGTAGATATCACCAAGAGCATACTTAAATTTGCATCAATCAGAAGTCCTTAAATAAAAAAGGCGTGAAATGGCAAAGTGATAAAAGATGACTTTCGAAGGCGCAAGGAAGAAAAAACTTTCCTAGAGTTTTTCAAAGCGATGAAGAGAAAGGTCGCGCACGATCAAACGAGAACTGGCAGCTTTTCTTATCATTCTAAAAGGAAATTTATAGAAAGGATCAGCTGAGTGTGCTCGCATTATCCCTCGTTGACCTCAACCTGGTCAAGATACATAAATCACATCAGGCATGGGACGGAAACCGGCGAAGATTCAAGGACAGCGAGGTGATAGCTTTGGAGATTGAGAGTTGATAAAAGTCGACTTGGGACTGTATGATTCGACGATCAGACAACCAGATTGTGCTCATTCGGACAACAGGCTCGAGGGAACACTGAAACCAAGAGCAGAGGGGTTGGTTCCATCAGGGACGAGCACGAGGGCTCAGCATGACCAAACGATCCCGTAGCCAACGATTTTAACAAGCAACTCCCATCAGCGAGCGGCTTACTAGCTCGGACGTGCCGGAGCTTTTGAGCACGAACTTTTAGTTCTTTGCGTGTCACATATCGCGAGATCTGTGGCAGCAAGACTATCCCTTGGCAGGATCGAAGGCAACGCTGCTGCAATCCTTTTTACTGATTGAAGGTTTATATTTATTTTTTTTACATTTCGCTACATTCGTGTCTCAGGCCCAGATTTTCTGGGGACTTTCCCTTTCGTAACACCGAGCTTGTCTGGTTGTACAAAGAATCCGTCTTGGAGGCTTTTCTTTGTGTTTCTTCGCATCACTGCCTATCCAGGTATTCTCTTATTTGCTCCCCTGCAAAATATGGTGGAAAAACTGTCTGGAGCTAGTCATCATGCCGCATTTGAAATTTGGTATTTCTATGTTCAGTTCGCACGTCCCATGAACTCCACAGGGTTGCATCATGCCGTACTTTCTCAAACATTCACGCGGTAGATTTTTTCAAAGCGATTTCTTTATTTTCAAAGCTTGATAGCAGAGTCAATAGGCCGTTATCCAAAGCCAAACTCACAATCTTTTATGGCTAATCAAGCTCTAAAAGTAACAGATTCAACAAACGTCATTGTAGTTCTGCTTTAGTTTCTTGAAGTTGAGGCTATTCATGTTTTCCGGTGAAGTATTCCCGGTTGCCTTGGCAAACTCCTTCAAAGCTTCAATGGCCTTCTCTTGCTGCATTGCAATCAGCTTGTCGGTATCCTCTCTTGCTGCCAAACCATCGCAAAAACAATCTACAAGAATTTCATATGGAAACTGCGACATATAGACATGAACCAGCCCCGCGTAGACAATTGCAGAGAATAATATTAGCGTGATAATTTCCAATAAGAAAGCCGTATGTGATAACTTTCTTTCGACCAAAGAGAAGATGGGAAACCCCTGGATGTAGGAACCTCTTGTTAGTCTCTAAAGATATAAAGGAAAACAAAGCTTACATGATAGTAAAAGTACACTGAAACCAACGCACACCCGCCCCTGAGGCTCAGGCTCAGGGAGCCAATATATCGCAGAAAATCCATATGCACTGAAGCAGTGACTCATAAGATTCATCAAGAACTGCCGCCATATAATCCAGTGGCGACATTCCAGATATCACCAAGAGTATACTCACCATTTGGGCTCAACAATCTCTGCTCCATAGGGTAAGTTACAAACTCCTTCACATCCTCTTAAATTTGCATCAATCAAAAGTCCTTAAATAAAAAACTCCAACTCACACAGGAAGAAAAAACTTTCCTAGAGTTTTTCAAAGCGATCAAGACAAAGGTCGCGCACCTTGTATCAAACGAGAACTGGCAGCTTTGCTTATCGTTCTAGACCGATCGATCTGACGCTCTCCATCTCAGTCAACTGATGATCTTGATTGGTTTGAGTGAAAGGAAATTTATGGAAAGGATCAGGTATTCCTCCTCAACCTGGTCAAGGTAAGCACTGGGCGTAAAATCACATCAGGCAAACCAGCTAAGATTCAAGGACAGCGAGGTGGAGAATATCGCGATTTCAGGACGAAGAAGGAAAAGAAGAGACTGGGTGCGGAGCAGCGATTCCATCTTCTTTGGGAATGAGTTTGGTGCTGCAAACTATAAGGTTCATCCCTTGATCGCTAGAAGCTTTCCTGATTTATGACTTCGTTCTCTTCTTCCTTCTAAGCTAGTTTTCACTGGGAGTTCCTCCCTTTCAAGCGAGCTCTAGAAAAATGGGATCGATGCTCAGCCAAGACGTGGGATTCTTCGACCCGGCGAGTCTTTGATTATCTCGTTTGATCCATATCTCCTCTACATATGGCAGGATTCGTCTCAGGCTTTGCAGTTGGATTCTCGTCCGTGTGGCAACTTATGCTCGTCTCTCTTGCTGTTGTTCCCGGCATCGCTCTCGCGTGTGGATTGTGCACATAGGACCAAAACAGGTCCAAACTTTGATCTTCCTTCCAGAGAGTCTTATTCGATAAGCCTTGGATTCTTACGCTCGAGCGCTGGAAACGACGCTGGAGACTGAGCATTTCTTCCAGATCTGTTGGAAACGCTGCTGGATGCATTCAGCCAAGGCCGAGCTGAGATTCAAGAAGGTCGACAGCGTCCAAGAATCATCGCGATTGACAAAGTGTGACCGATCTTCCAGGCTCTCCATCCATCCCCGCGAGAATGACCGCTGGAAGCAGCGGATATCCGGCAAGAGCTCCTCATTTCTACGATCCCAGTCAGAGCCCGGGCAGAAAAGAAAGGAAAGAATGCACATTGAATTGAATCCTTGTCTAAGTAACTAGGACTGCGCTACTTCCGTCTCGACAGGAACAACCCGATGGTAGCTGTGGTCGCTGGTGCCCGAGGACATTGTGGGACAGGCCAGGCACTGATACGTTGGCGACCTTTAAACTGCATCATCGCTTGGAGCAGCTCCCAGCCAGCTCCTCCGTCCAGAATCTCGAAGCCACGTTGAACGCCCGGATTTCGCCGAGCGTCCACCAAGTTTCTCCACGCAACTAAGTCGTGATTCATGCGCTTCATTGAACTGGATGAGAGCACTCTCGCTTCTCAGTTTCGAAAACACCTGCCATTGATAGATGTATCAGCTGGACTTACCATTTGCAAGAACATCAATCCGAGGCTGTAGCGGTCTGGCAGGTTTAGCTGTAAGGATCAAAGTTCGTGATCTGTCACAGAAAATATTGACTGGTATAAACCTGCCATAGAACTGGAGAGAGTGCTGTTGCAATGACAGGCGATGGAGCGGAGGGAGTCTGAGTGCTCATAACGTACAGCTCTGGTGCAGCGTACCTTGAACATAGAAAAAATGTCAGGAAACTTTCTTTACGCGAAGTTGAAAAGAAATTACAACTCAGACCTTGGATCCAGTAGGAAG